GAATTTGTGGACATTAACGGTACTGGAAACGACGGACATTTTAAGGCGTGGCGACGTTATAACGATGAATGGCTTATCTTCGACGATAATCACATTACAAAATCTAGAAAATTTATCGATAAATGTAAAAGTGTAACACTCTTATTATTCGAAAAAATCATAGAATAAAAAATGTTACGTCATTTGTTTACTCTATTTTGTTGTGTTGGTATATTGCCTTCAAAAATTCCCTTCCGTTATATTCTCATAGTATTTTAACAGAAACAATACGTCTTCATCGAATAATATATCGTAGAAAGTTGACTGACCAAGAACATTTGGCCTTTGAATAGCGAAGTAAAAACTTAAACATCAGATCTATCTAACAATTAAAAAAAATCGAAGGGAAAATATTAACAAAAGAAGGAAAGCTAAGTAAGACTTACATTGATAAACGTAGAAAAACTTATTTAACAAGAACAGTAGAGAAATAAAACAAACGAACATTTGCAAGGGTGGAATTGGACGTAGAAATTTGACTTACCAAGAACATTGAGGTAAAGAAGTAACATATCAGATTAGAGAATGCGCTCCGAAAGGAGCGCGTTGCTCTAGTTCATCAAAAACAGAAGGGAAAAAACTCAGACGAAAATTTGCAAGGGTGGGGTTGGACGTAGAAAGCTGACTGACCAAGAACAGTTGGCCTCTGAACAGCGACATAAAGAAGTAAAAAATCAGATTAGAGGAAGTGCTCCGAATAAGACACTAAATTAACACCCCGAAGGGGGAGTTAGTCAAGTGTTTTAACCCGCCCATTCGGGGGTGAGAGTTACTTTAGTTTCTTACTCAAGGGTTAAAACACTTGAATGAGACACTAAACAAACCCTTCCGAAGGGGGTTAGTTTAGTGTCTTACTCAAGATTTTAAAACGCAACCAACCCCCCCATTCGGGGGGTTAGTTTAGTTTCTTACTCAGGGGTTAAAACACTTGAATGAGACACTAAACTAGCGTGTTACTTAAGATTTCAATTGTTTTAACCCTCAATTCGGGGCGGTTAGATTAGTTTCTTACACAAGGTTGGTGGCGTTTTACAAACTTGACCAACCCCGCCGAGGAGCTCCGAAAGGAGCGCCCTACTCTAGTCTACAAAAATATCCTCAGTGTCGTCTCTGGTTGCTTAAGTCAAGAGATTTCGCATCCTCTTACCACCGCCTACCCCGTATATTCCCTGAGAGTTGGGGGCCCTTGCCAAAATTTCCGTACATCCCCTCCACACCTATGAGAAATATTCACAGTTGTAACCGCACGAGTGTGTTTGACCCGTGGCTAAAATATCGAAGAGCGAGTCGCGTGCGGAGTTACCTATTCATTCGCAGATAACTGTGTTACTGTGAAACCAATTTCTAATTAACATCGGGCTTCAGTAGGTTATACCTTCTGATACATTACCGACCTACAAAATTTTCGTTCCAAACGTTACACATCCACTTCCTTATAACTGAATTTGTATGTCTCGGGCCTTCAGAGAAATGATGTTACGATACGCGCTGTACCATGCCGCTCGCTACTTTTGACAAGTTAGCCGCGCTGAAAAATTCTTGCAGCCAACGTAAGGGGCAATATTAACATAATGATATAGAGGAAACAAAGTGTTACAAATTACATAAACACAAAAAATGATTTTTTCAATTTTTGAAAAATTATACGGAGTGCTGCAGCTCTTATGGACGGGCATAAACGGAATCGGGATAAATTGAAAATCTTTTATAATGTAAATCAACGGGAAGTCAATGAAATGCGTTCCCAGCACCAGATCATTGTCGAGTAATATAATGGAATTACATTTAAAGCCATGAAATAACGTAAATAAAATAAAGGGAATTTAAAAAAAAATTCACTTACAATTGGTAATTCGTTTTCCCCGCGATTGACTGCGATTCTTTCATGTGATTGATGTGTACAGTCATCTCTGCAGTTTTGCTATAGTTGCATTCATGCATATAAAATCGCGTAATAAAAATAACCCCGGTACCTCCACAGAGATTAAATCAGTCATTTGAAAGTTTAAAGCGCCAGGAATGAAATTGCATAAGAGCAAACTCGCATATGCAAATGTTTGCATTTCACAAACAGCTTTTACCGTTTCATCGATCTCATTGGAGCAAATTCGCGTTAACGAAACGAATGTAATTGCAGAGATGACTGTATTTATAATTTTATTCAAAATCAGCGATGTAAGAATTACGATAAGAATCAGTACGAGATACATTGTAAAACGTTATAAATAATAGTAAATTTCTTTTTCACTTTTTGACTTTCTGGTTTCAAAATCGGCGTTATTCTGAATCGGCGCAAATCGAGTCTACCTGTATAAAGTAAAATTATAGAATAAACTAAAAGCTAATTCTGTCTTCTTAGTGTCCGTATTATCATGTGGAACAGTAATACAGACAGGCTAAGCCAATCCTAAGCCCCTGGAGCAAATTATAAATTCTAGGTTCTTTCCTCTAGATAGCTCCTTTATTTTCCATTGCCCAACAGACGTTCCAGAACTGGGTTGACAAGAATGGAGAAGTCATTACAAGGTTGTTTACTTTCATATTCAACATCCAGGCAGATTTGGAGAACCAAAGTATCTGCATGACACGCCTCGGAAATTTTGCAATGCTTCTCTCTGGTCTTGTTGCCTGTATTTCTGAAACAATGTGAATACTTTAACTAATAGCAAAAGTGACGATTTTTTGATATGCGGTAAATATCACAAGCAGCTATTTTTGAAAGCAATTTCATACTTAAAGGGAGTGAAGAACATAATTTTGGGAGATCTGGACATAACTTGGGAAAAAATTATTCAAAAAAAATTAGCAGGAAAATAACACTGTCTACAAGATTTAATAAAATATCTTTCATATGCATCTTGGGAAGTCATGTACTGCATTAGGTCATGCTTGTTCTGATTTCATGTAAACTTTATGGATAATATTTTACAGCATTTAATAATAAGGAGAGCACAGCAGTGAAAAGCAACAGACAGGCGAGAAGTATTTTTTCTGATGACTAATTTTTTCCACTTAGGAATAGGGGATTACACACGCACATCACTCGCCTACTGGACAACCTATGCTGCAAACTCATTGATAGTAAATGTGACCTCAATTGTATAATATGTTACTCTCAGCATGCAAGCATAATGTTATTTTCCTTACTTTGTTGAATGTAATGGTGGGAACAAACCCAAGTCCTGAAGGAGCTAGTTTTAACGTCTCTTCTTGCGCCATTAGCTGCAAGGTTGTGCCAACTGGAGACTTCATGCAACTGTCAACAGCGGCCCAACTGATTCCAAATTTCTCTGAACACTGAAAAATAAGTAGTGGGTTGACATCTCTTAGAATTTTCGTAAAGGTTACCAAGTTTATTGGTGATGAGTAAGACAGGATTACAATGGGGCTATTTAGTCCTTTGCAATTTATGTAGAATAAATTTTATCTGCTTGGGCCAGGCAGGCTTACGACTGCAGCCAGTTCCCATAACAGACATAAAACAATACTTGTCTTTACATTGATTCCTTAGATCAGTGGCATTTAACCTGGGGTACGCGTACCCCCGGGGGTACGCGAAGACATCTTTGGATGTACGTGAAATTTAAAAAAAAAATATTATTTTATGATAAACACTGAATAATCATTAATGTAATTTATTTAACTTATTTTAGATGTAGATTATATGCTATGTATAATTTGAATTATACACAAACTTTGGGGGTACAAAGTTGAAGAGGAATTAGATATATCTGGGGGTATTCGAACAAAAAAGGTTGAATACCACTGGTTTAGATGATACAGTAAATCAGAGACATATTTCACATCTGTGTTTTGCAAAAGAGTACTAAATTTTATTGACCAAATTCTCTTCTATAATCAGAAATTTTTCATAGATTTTTAAAAGAAAAGTAATGTAGCCTGAGAACATTTTATGTAATTTTGTTGATATTCAATCATAATCACAAGACTTTTTAATTAATTAATTAATTAATTTCATACATATAGAGGGCTCTAGCAGAAAAATCAGGAATGAGTAGAAATTTTGCGGAGGCAGCAGGCTTATCTACTGCTATTCTGAGGCACTTAAAAAGACTAAAAAGACAAGTTGCCTTGTACAACAGTTTGGAACAGGCCAAGGGTCTAATCCTTGACAGGAGAAGATGATTAATTATACTTTTATTTCATTTGCAGGTATTAGACCTGCTGACGGAGGCAGTATGACCTCTGAAACGTTGGCTAACCTCGACCAGACTACACAGCGCAACAACGCAGAAGACAGAAATCTTCATACTCACCGCTGTGAAAACCTCAAATCTTACAAGTAGTAAATGAGTCTGCTACTAGTTTATGACAAAAACATTATTTATTATTTACCTTTATTAGTGGTTCTTCTTTTTATGGATTTTTTACTTGTTTTGTCTTTTTTCACTTTCTAAACAGTTTTAACTTTATGATCAGATTCTTGTGTCTGTTAGTTTAATTCATACATCTACATAAATATCACTGTTTATTCTGGTAATCCTACAAAACCCGTTAACACAGTTTGTGGGCAAGATGAAGTTATTAAATCAAACACTACGTAGTATATTATGTTGGACCAATGGGCTTAGGAGGTAAAGTCATAAAGTAACATCTACATTTTAAAGTGTTAACCATGTTATACTAACGTATATTGTGCTTTCAATCACATATTGGCCTTATTTTTTTTTTAGGCTTATGGGGCAGAGGAAGAAGTGAAAATGTTGTACACAGATAGAGATGCATTCCTTATATCCTTGGATATCAGTATAGCTGTCAAGACAAGTCAGAATATAGTAGATCATCCTCAGAAAACAGACTTACATAGAAATATTATGCAATGAACAAAGAACAAAACATACTGCAATACTAACCAAACCCAATATCCAGTACAATACATTATCATTAACATTAGTAGCATAAAATTGATTGATAGAATGAAATATGTTTTTGTTTTCTTAGAGTTTCTGCACACAGCTTGCAACATGCTTAGACTTACATTCTATAACAAGAAAAATGGAAACCATATAACAAAATACTAAAAATCTTCTCCTTTTGTTTGCAAATATTATAGGTAGTAGATTTCAAAGGTAAGTTCTGTTGAAAAAAGTGATGGCGTAATATTATATACTATGTATAAGCACAGCTAGAAAGCACAAATATCGTGTGTGAGCCATGCCTCGTGGCTTGGAGACCCTGATCAGACTTGGGGCTTGACAAAGAGCCTTCTTAATGGCTTCATAAGCACGTTGTTGGTTCACCTCCCAAACAAACTTAGCGTTTTTTCGCTTCAGGGCATTTAACGGTTCAGAAAGCCGAGAGAAATCAGGGATGAAACAACGTACAATGCAACCATCCCAAGAAAACGCCGAACTTTCTTCAAGTTTCTCGGTGGCGGAAACCCTTTTATCACGCTTACCCTCTCGGGGTTAACGCGGACGCCTGTACCCGACAATAAATGGCCGAGGAAGCTGATCTCCTGAACTCCTAACATGACCTTGGATGGGTTTAGAGTGAAACCGGCATTTTGTAGTCTAGAAAAGGCCTCACTTAAGGTGCCTGATGTGTTCGGCCCAAGTGCTGGAATAAACCAACAGATCGTCGAGATAATTAAACAGAAATTTAAAATTGATGTCACCAAAGATTCGATACAACTCACGGCTTAAAATCTGCCCGCCTACACAATTCCCCATGAGCAGTTTAACAAACTCATACAAGCCAAACGGGGTGATAAGAGCGGTATATTTCCGAATCTTATGATCGAGAGGTATCTGATAATACGCGCTATTCATGTCTAAAACACTCAAATACTTAGCTCCGGAGAAATGTTGAAATGCTCTTTCAATAGTGGGCAACGGAAAGGAGTCGTAATTCAACTTCCGATAATCGACCACCAAACGAAATTTTCCTTCCTTTTTGGCGACCAGGAAGGCCGGACTCGCGTAGTTTGAAGTGCTAGGTTTAATTACACCATTATTCAGCAAGTCGTTCAAATGCTGCCGGAGGGCGATCAGTCTAGGCGGTGAAAATTGTGCGAGGTGCGATCGGAAAGTTTCAAGACTGTATCAATAGACGGCGAACCGGATGTAGTACGAGCTTCTGCCGCTAGGGGGTGCGGCCTACATTCATAGTGAATCAGTGTGCCAGCCGGCATCATCGAATTACCATTTGTTTCTTAGTTACGGGCGTTTTGGTAGTGCATTATACCGACCCTCCTGCGATTGCGGATTTTCATGAACAAAGAGTGTGCATCAAATTTTGCCAAAGACTCGCCAAAACGGCTACGGAAACCTATGAAATGCTGAAGAAAGCATTTGGGGAGTCCGCAATGGGTCGTGCACAAACTTTTGTGTGGCATTCACGTTTTAAAAATGGCCGAACCTTTGTCGATGGTGACGAGCGTTCTGGACGACCATCTTCGAGCACAATGCCCGAAAATGTTACGAAGATTCGGCAGGCCATTCACGAAGATCGACGTCGTACCATCAACGACTTGTGCGACATTGTTGGGATAGGCTATGGGACCTGGCAGCTGATTCTAAAGGAACTAAAGCAAGCATTTGGGGAGTCCGCAATGGGTCGTGCACAAACTTTTGTGTGGCATTCACGTTTTAAAAATGGCCGAACCTCTGTCGATGATGACGAGCGTTCTGGACGACCATCTTCGAGCACGACGCCCGAAAATGTTACGAAGATTCGGCAGGCCATTCACGAAGATCGACGTCTTACCATCAACGACTTGTGCGACATTTTTGGGATAGGCTATGGGACCTGTCAGCTGATTCTAAAGGATGAACTCCACATGCGACGCATCCTGTCTGAGGACCAGAAGCAGAATCGACTTCTCGTTTGTCAGGAGTTTAAAGATCTTGCAAGAACCGACCCCAACTTCCTTTCTAAGGTTTCCTCTTCTCAAAGATGAAAATTCAGCTAAAGGGAAGGAGATTTGAGACGATAGAAGAGATTCAGGCAGAATCGCAGATGGTGCTTGACAGGCTGACAAAGAAAGATTTCCAGGGATGCTTCCAGGCTTGGCAGCGGCGCTGGGATCGTTGTGTTCACTCCCAGGTGAACTACTTCGAGGGTGATGGATGAATTTAATACCTGAGATAAGTGTACGGGTTTTTATACGCGCAGTCTGGAAACTTTCCGATCACACCTCGTACGGTGGCGATCTTACTGGCACATTGTCAGCTAATTCGATGCCACAAGTGCGTCACCTCACCGTGCCCGGTCTATCAGAAAACAGCGCGGGAAATTCTTTAATGAAAGTGGAAATACTACAAGCCGGCCTCTCAACTACAGGCATAGTTGTCTTCCTGGACGTGCTTGTCGAATAAGAGAGAAATTGATACTTCTGCTGGGATCTGAACTGGAAGTGGTATATCCCCCGAGAAGGATGCAGAACCATACCACTATGGCAGACAAAATCTGCTCCCAGAATTACTGCCACTGATAAGCGTCTCGCCACGAGAAAGTCGAAGTCCCACGAGTAGTCGTGGATTTTAAAATGCAGTTTGATTCTCCAGGAGATTTGAATCTCTTGTGACGCAGCCATAACCAAACTGACGCCAGACGGCATTTTCTGAAACGGGACGCCCGATTTCCGTAAATCCTCAACAAAATCCATAGCGACCAGAGAAAAGACAGAGCCCGTATCTACTAAAACTGGTTGATGGAGACTTCTACAAGATACAGTAACCCATGGGCACAACGATCGATATGGTTTAGCCCTAAATCTCGCGCTCGGGAAGGAAAATATTTGGGCCCGCTCACTCCTATCTACGGGTGGGCGGCCGGACCGTTTCCCTGTCCGCGACCATGGCCACGAGTCCCCCTCTTACACTCTGACCGCCTATGCCCGTACTCTTGACAATTCCAGCATCGGGCTCCCTTAAAGTCCCTTATGTTACGACGGGCGAGTGGATAATCTCTTGAAACACTCGCCGTAGACGCGGCGCCGAGGGCGTCCATCCTTTGCCTCCCGGCTACCAGACAGTTAGATAGGTCACGCCCCAACGCGTACAGATCCGCAACTGCCCTCGGCCTTTTAGAAAAAACAAAGTGAGTCCTCTGCCCCGAATCCATATTCTGAAGAATAATATTCACAATCTCAACCTCCTAAGAGAAACCTGGTAGAACCTCGGCAGCATTAACCACGAAGTCTATGAAGTCCAGAAAGCTTTCTCCGACGGACTGAAAGCGACGGGTGACGAATTCAAGCTTAAGGTCCTCCAGCAAGCGAGAAAGCAGAAACTCCTCTACGAGCCTTTGCCGGGTCTGACTCCAAGCAAGATTAAGGCTCAAACAATCGCCCATAGTTCTTGTCACCCGCCCTATTAATTACACACTCCTTTTAATCTGTCGATGAATTTCTAATGTTTATAAGTAAGTCGTAATTTATCTATTGTATATAATGGGTGGGTTTATTTGTAACTTATCTCTACTTTATGTGAACCCTTTGTTTGTATTATGTGTAATTTATATAATAGTATGAATTATACTTTATAATATGTATTGTATTATTATGACTTATCCTACATCCTATTGTCATTTGACTAACTTATGGATCCATGGAATGTAATAAAGATGTATGTATGATGTATTGTTTTGGGAATGAGAGCCCAAAGGATTTTGTCCTCCCTGACTAGGCGCAATTTAACCAGCGAATTGGCCTTGATCAGAAAGGTCACCAATGCCTTTGGCGAACTACCATCCACCACGTCTACGGATTTAACCATCCCTAACATCACATGCATATTAATGTTGTGGATGGAGGACGTAGCGGGTGGATTCAGGGGAACCCCCCTCCCCGTGTCGACAGGACGAGTAAAATTCTCCATGGGCATTAGCCCGTCAGCCGAAGGGAGACCTCCAGTTTGGACCTTAGCCGACTTAACATCAACGGGAACTCCAGGTCCCATTACATCCGTGCGAATCGCCGAGATTTCCCGCTCCTCCTGTGTTCGCAAGAACGCGACGAAGCGTCACGAAGCTCGGCAAGAGGGCCAGTGGCATCCACCCGATACCTCTCACAGAGCTTCGTATGGTTCTCCTTACTGTGGTCGTAGACCCAACCAACTGTCGGAGCCATGAGAGAAAGAACAACACCAAAAATAAATAAATAAATAATTCCACCAAACCGCAACACCTAGTGACCTAAAGCAAGGCCCCACCTGACAAACTTGCCCCCTAGCACGGTCAAATACAAACAAGTGCTAGCACCGGCAAGGTCGGCAGGCCACAACAGAACCTGTCTGTGCCACACGGTGTCCTAATAGCGCGTTCACCACAACACACTTAGGAACTTCAAAACCGTCAAAAACCGTTGGAAACCAAGCCAAATTTTCGTTAACCAATTTCCGTTAACCACGCTCTGCTACCATTTTGAGCCCCCGATTGGGGGACTGCCGGAATATGTTACAGAGGCCAAAATCATCCCAGGCCGGGAGGTGGTACGGCTTGCGGATGGTAAAGCGGTGAAGTAAAAAAGAAACAACCAAAAAACCAAATTAAAGTACTCCGATTAATCAAAATGTAATATTTAATAAACTGCAAATTCCTGATTTTCATCTTCCATTAGTGTTGCAATTCGATGCGTCAGACATCGGGGTATCGAGTGTTCTGAATCAAGAGGTAGGTGGGAAGCCAGCGCCCATCGCCTTCTTTAGTCGCCTTTTCTCTCCCGCGGAAAGAAATTACTCGACCTACAAGAAGGAATGTCTTGCCGTCGTACTAGGATGCGAAAGGTTCCGGACATACTTAGAACATAGGAATTTGTTGTGCATTCGGACAATGAGGAGCTCTCGTGGATGCGTCGCCATCCGCGCCAACTAGTGCGCACAGGAGATGGCTATTACGCCTATCGCCGTTCAAATTTAAGGTGATCCATATCCGGGGGAGCGAGAAGTTGTGGCCGATTGCCTATCAAGGATGTTTGAGCCTCCAGATTCGCCGACAGCACAACCTGCCGTGCGGGTTCTATAACCCCTCCCTGCCTCTTTCGAGACCTTAAAGGACCATCGAAGTAAGAACCCCTATTGTGTTGGTTTACACCAACGCATCGCCGCCGGATACACTTCGTGTAAAGACTGGTGATTGCATCGTGGCCTAGTTGTGTTCCTCCCGCGACAAGCCAGACGACCAAGGGTCCTGGTCCCGGAAGCTCTTAGACCCATGATTTTGGATTATTTCCATGATTCTTCCTTGGTTGCTCACTTAGGATCTCTGAAGACATACTATAGGATAAACAAAGATTTTTATTGTCCGGGGATGAAAGGCGAAATTAGGGACTATGTTCGGCGCTGTCCTAAATGCCAAAGGGTAAAGCCTGCTAGGAGCACTCAGGTCGGATTTCATTCGGCCGACGTTGCTGAATGCCCTATGCAACGCATATACATAGACTATTTTGGGCCTATTGTGCGGTCAAAATCCGGTTACCGAGCTATCTTAGTAGTGATTGACGGAATTTTTTCTAAATTTGTCAACATGTATCCGGTCCATGAAATTACTACTAAAACTACTATCACCATGCTCGAGACCCGATTTTTCGGGAATTTTGGGGTTCCAAAAGAGATCGTGTCGGATAACGCTTCTGTTTTTAAATCTCAGGCGTTCAGGTACATGTGTATTAGGCGGGGCGTTACACATTTTACTACCAGCCCCTACAGACGCTATCCCAATCATGTCGAGCGTTTCAACAGAAATCTTAAGGCCGCGTTATCTATTTTCCACGATTATCTGCAGACGACGTGGGATTACAATCTTCCCTACTTCACCATCGCCTTTAATTCGGCCTGGCATGAATCTACGAAACAAACACCCGCAAAGCTATTCTTAGGGAGAGATGTTAAGGACTCTTTAAACCTTCGTTGGAAAGTTTCTGAGGTGCTGGGGGATCCAGAAGGACCTCCTCTTGAGGAGGTCTGGGAGGCTCTTAGAAGCCTGCGTGTTGCCCGCAAAAGGGTAGCGCAAAGATATGACGAGGGGAGGTCACCCAACCCTTTCAAACCGGGGGATCGGGTGTTGGTCAAAGTTTACCCGGCGAGTTCCGCCACTAATCAGACCTCAGCCAAGTTAATGTTAAGGTGGTCCCAGCCTCTGGTGATCTCTTGGTTCCTGACTCCTGTAACGGTTCAGCTTGTGAACCCTGTGACGGGCGCACCTGTAAGGAAAGCCCACGTTTCTCACTTGAAAAGGAATTTATAAATTGTTCTAGGCGCCTTCCTTCTGCGTGTACACTAGCCGGAGAAGACTGCCTGATCGACACACACAGACACCTCTACCCCTTTGCTATGCAAGGGGATAGGTACCACATGGGAATACATATATGGTATTGTATATTGTAAGTAATATATATAGATTTTAAATAGGATGGCCATCCTAGGTGTAATAGATGTAAAATTAAGTTTGAGTATTGGAAAGTGTTGTAAATATGAAAGGAGATAAAATCAAGTGCGGTATTCGTAATGTCTTGGAGATGCAAACATTTGAAACCTGTGGTGTATGTGTTGATTTGCATCAATGAGCAGTAAAGTTTCAATGTGAAATGTTTGTATAACAGATCTTGTATGATCGAAGTTGGTTATAATGTTAAAAACTTCTCTTTCGATCTGTGTAAATGCTAAATGGAGGTAGTCAGATGTTGGTGAAATGTTGTCACATTGTTTTTGTGAAGTTACATTCATGTCTCTTGTTTATGCAGAATATTATTCAGTTGATTGTTACATGTGCCCTTTGTTGTTCAAATAGAGGCTCACGTTTCGGTTGGGTAAAATACGACAAGTTGATTTGCGGTTGTTTTGTTGGGGGGGGGGGGGGGGGGGGGGGGTTGTTGTTTCTGAAGTAAGCCATTTTCAGTCTAAATTGAAGTAGTCTGGTCTAAATTAATTTCGCTCATTTCCTTTTTAAAATTCATTTTCATTTGACAACCCACATAACTTGCACAGTGTTAGAACATAATCAGGTTTACAGGAATTGTACTGCCAGCCAGTAACATAAAGTGCTTGGATGCTGTCATTCAGGTTTTTCCTTTTCGTGATTTACTTTAGTATTCTACAGTGGTTTCAAGTGTTTCTGACATTAGTGTAGTCCATATAATATACGCCCGGCACATTTATTATATAATTTATTATTATTAAATATTATGTATTAACACAGATGCTTGCCACTGCGATCAGAGCTACCGGCACATTTACCACAACCCCGGCCCAGGGAGCAGTTCTTTTTGGGAGGGGGGGGATGAGGCATGCCTCATGGCTCGAAGTGACTTATCTCGCCTCTCAAAGTTCTTTGGAGTCGGCGGCTTGGAGACCCTGATCAGACAGCAGAGCAGTTAGGCGGTCTGTGTGTGTGTGTGTTTGTGTGTGTCGGGGAGTGAACGACTCAACGAGGAAGGCTGAAGGCAAGTCTGTTTTCGGGGGTTGAGTTTGACGTCTGAGGTCGCATATCCAACCGGAGATTGAGCCCTCGGAGGCTAGGCTGAAAGATGTCTTTGTTCTGTTTATTTCTATGTTTAAATATTTTTATTAAATATTACCTTTTGATTAATCGGAGTACTTTAATTTGGTTTTTTGGGTTTTTTTTTACTTCGCCGCTTTAACATCCTCAATCCGTACCACCTCCCGGCCTGGGATGATTTTGGCCTCAGTAACATAATCCGGCAGTCCCCCAATCGGGGCTCATGTGTCATACACAACGAATGCCATGAAGTAGAGTCCTTGAGACATTGCTTGTACCATCAGGTTTGTGCATTAATTCTCACCTTAAAATCTCAATTGTTGCTGTACATGAGCAGTGGGAGAACACCACTTTCAGAACGAACTTTTAAATGGTCCATAAATCGTATTTAATCTTAAAATAATGGAATCGCTTTTATTATACTGCTATATTTTTTGTTTCTGTTTCTGTTTCATGGTCTCTGCAACAGAAGTGCATAGAAGATTCAAAACGAAGATTTAAAAATCGGCACGTAGAAACTTACACGCTTCCCTTCTTGGCTTCCGTCCGGCCTGCTCATGACGCAGTGCACAAATTCCATTTGTGGTCCCGAAGGGTTGAGCAAGCTGAGTGCGCATGACTGCATTAGAAAAAATCTCCATGTTGACACCTGAACCCACCAGAACCATCTACCTGCAAATAAACAGTACTAACGCGTAGTCTGATAGAAGTTTATCACAGTTTCAGAGGTCCTTGCTGCTTCATCATCAGGGCGACGAGTAAGCAACTCAGAAGTCACACATCTTCATAGTCGCCGCTGTGAGAACTTTAAACTTCACTCAAAACTGAACTGTTGTAACACTGCTCTACTCAGGTGGTAGAGGGAATGTGTTACGGGCTGTGATGTTAATTACTACACTGCACTATGTCGGTCCTGAGACATAATTTCTCGCTTTGAGAAGACGCAGGTCTAAAAATTATTTTAAAAGAATGTTTAAAGGAAAATTATTTGGACTTTATATTTAGAGGTCCTAGGCCTATCTATGTATGGGTTGGATGATACCAAGTGACGGAGAACTTTGTAACTTACAGAGACAAAATATGTATCGTTAATGTAGTAAAGTTAAAGGCTAGTCTGAGTGTGTAGTTTGCATTGGAAAATTACGGAATGCAAATACCTTTTAAAAACAAATATTTTAGAATGTGACAGATTGCTTTAAAAATAGCGATCGATGTAAGAGTTTAATATTAACCTCAAAAAACTGATCCTGAGATTGTGAACTGGATTGACCTGGATCAGTCTTTTGTAGAATGAGCGTTTTTCTTACAAGCGGTGATAAACTTCGATTTCCAGTGAGTTAATACTGAACAGCATAAATACGATATTTTCATTTATACGAAAGCACGCATCTAATTTTAATGAATACTGTGTTTTGATTTATATAACAAACGGGCAGATTTTCTGTTAATATCTGAAAGGGAATTACATAAGCGTATGTACACATGCCAACAGAACAGCACGGACTTTCTCATTGCTGTAAACAGCTGTTTTCAGAACATCTTGATGTACCAGAAATATCTTTACTGTTGCCTCCTTTTGCGTTACCATTTTGTTTTAATTTCCCGCCAGTTGACTGATATTAATTATATTTCAATGACGGAAAATTGAATTTCACCTAGGGAAATAACTTATTCAACAGAGTATTTTTTTATTTCTACTCAAGAATCCCCTAATTTTATCTACAGTCACTATTTTAGCCTCTTTCCGTGTATACCTAATTCTAACTTCCCCGGTTTCTCCGTGGCATCCCAACAATTAATCCATTCACACACACAGAAGAAGGCAATGGCAAACCACTTTTGAATCATCTGCCAAGAACGTATATGAACAGGTCCGTCCGAGAAAAGGATGGAAGGATCCTGTTCATGTGGACCTGTCGTCAGACAGAACATTAAATAAATTATATATAACCTAATTCTGGAATGTATTATTGCTAAGTATTTAGCCGTATTTCTGTGTCCGTTGCCGAAACTGTTGAGTCTCCTATTCGTCGCATCGCACTTCAAGCGTTGCCAATGTACCCCACCATTTTCGAACTTCCTCCAGGATAAAAATATTTCGTCATTTTATTCCTAACCTCTCCTCTGGGCTGAAGAGTTGGTGTTATTAGATCAATGCTTCAAACTTACCTTCAAATTTGTTGTTAAATCTGGCCAAAAACACACAACGATACTATTCATGACAATATTCTCTATAGATCCATGCGCACTACAAACTAAGCTGCTTAGTTTTCTGGGAGTGCTAACAATACAAAAACCATTTTTAAACACCAATCTGACTTAAACCATTACCCTACACACCACAGCTGGCTGAATACCAAGGGCGTGTTGAATTATCAAAGAAAAATTTCTGTTACAGTTAGGAACGGTTAATCAGACATCACATGCGACATTGTCATACGAAATGCAAAATCTAGATTAGCGCATTCATTGTAATAACACGTCTTATTTATTACCTGTAATCATACCTGGTCATTTAAACTCGAAAGTTTATTGAAACTGTCCCCGGCATGGGCTCACGATGTTGGTCGAATAGCGGCATACAGGAAAGCATAATGACTTATTATTTTGAAAGCGGGCACTTGTAAGACCGAGAAACAGATGGGAAAAACAATATTACACACACGTACAGCATCAAAGGACAGTAGAGTGCAGAACCATAGCAAAAATCGGACATTATTGCAGCATCATATATTAATCTGTTTTCGAATTGGTACAGTGTCAGATTCAGACTGCGTTAAGAACTCACTGTTTACGTCAAAATTGCTGTCAGAAGTGTAAGCATGAATCAGGCATTACGATAAATCATGGACCAATACAAAGTGTTTGACACTATTAACATTGATTCTTCCTTGGATTGTTATCTGTTGCTCCACTAATAGAATTGTTTTCTTCAGCATTCATTGCTGTGGTTGTGCACAATTCAGTTCTCTGATGATGTCTCGCGAGTCAACCTTCACACTTCTTTCTTCTGATTTCACTCCAACACTCATTGTCGCCTGCAACTTTTACTCTGTTAAGCTCAGCGCTGCGACACTGTCTTTTATACGACACAGAATTGTTACTTTGTTACATATAACTAGAGAATCGGAGTTTGTTCTGGGACAGTTCACCAGTTTCTGTGTCTCGTAGAAATGGTATTTTCTGGTGACGAAACACCTAAGACGGGAATAAAGTTCTTGAGCATAGCGACACAACGAAAACCGGATGAGTAGAGACTGGAATGTGGACGTAAATTCAGGCTAGCTGTCCTTCCCGTCGTGTTAGGGGGGGTGGGCTTGTGACAATATTACACTAGAAATTTAGGCATGTGCTTCTCTGAAAAGTTAGTATTTACTTAAAACCGGAACACATGAAAGTAACTTAAATTAACTATGTAACTAAAATTATCAGGGACTTCAATTTATTAAAAACTAAATTGCACACTCCTTGTTATATCTACGTCAGCGAACTCATGTTCCCCAAGAGTTTGCTAATTTGTGTAACCAAAAAATTGGTCTACACTTAATAAAATAAATGCATTACGTTAACCTAGAAGCCACGCATGACACTTAGTAGGTATTAAACGCTTTTAAAACTATAAAGAATGAAACAGTCTTCAGATATAAATAACAACGTTTTCGTATTGGAGACAATGGAAGTTGAAGACACTTACCGACGCTTTGCCAAATGGCACGAACTTTAGAACAAGATGATCCTTCAGATCCTTCCAAGCAGGGTAGAGCTGCTGTGTAATGAATCTCTGGCTGTCAGGACACAGAGTTTCGTAGTAGACTGTGACATGGACATTCTGCAAGATACCAGACATCGCAGTTAGAAGGTCCATCATATAACCTAATTTTGTATTTCAAGATGGCGGTCATGTAGATACTGAATATAACAACAAAATTTGTCCTCATTATTTCATATTTCGAATGATTATGAATTGCGAGAACTTCTGCACAGAATATTTTCATTTTTCGTGCTCATTCTCACATTGTTAAACACACTGTGTACAAGGCAATTCAGAAACCCCACTTACCTATGTACTTAAGTAGTGGGGGTTAAATTTACACACAATTCGTTTCTAGAAACACCTGCCTTAATTATGGTGCGCTTCCTTTCTAAGGGAATGTTCTATTCCTCGCAGAATTATCTGAGAAGATTATTTTCTGTCACACCAGACAATATTTTAAATATCTTTCTAGGGTTCATTGATAATAAGAAATAACTGCAGTGACTGATCTTTCGTTTTATAGGTTGATCGAAAAGTCATGCAACACATTAAAATATTTATTGATAGCTGCAATTTAGTATAATTACATTGGATTTATAAACACACGACATCGCTGTGACTACACAAGAGTCCACTCAGGTCACGTCATGTTGTAACCTGCTCGCGCCTGTCCGTCAACTGTCTTCAGTCAAAGAGAAAGGATTTTTTTTTAAAAGAGCAACGAGTGTCCATTGCCAAACATTACCTGGCAACTCGTTATTAATTGAACAGAACAAGTCTAAGGATATATCTCTCGATCATTCCTTGCCAAACAACTTGATTGTGTATTGTCTTGTTAACCGTTTTCTGTCACTTCAGAAACTTTTCACTGACTTGGACCAACTTTTTTATTTCCTGATTTCAATAAAATTTGTCTTTTAACAAAAACAGTACAGTTGTCAAGAGTAGTTGCGTCACTTTTCGATAACTCTGTATAACACTAATAAGTGTAGACTAAGAGTCGTATGCTACACCTTCTTGAACTCACTATATCGTCAGAATATACGTTATGGGCCACGTTCCAAAGCATTTAAAACTACAAAACTTTCTCTTCTGTTTCCAAAAGTCAACGCAAACATTTTACTGGCATTTTTGCCTTTAGAATCCTTAACAAAGTTTTTTCTTAATGTTTAATGATTTACGAAGTATGAAAGATAATAAAATATTTGTACTATGTTAATTTTACTATTAGATACTTAATGATTGTCTTTCATATGTAGCCTTGCTAGTAGACAGATTTTATCTGAAATAAAGTTTGTCGTTAACCAAAACACTGTTGCAGCTCAACTAATGCACTGTTTATGTCTTCACGACTTTCTCACATACAGAATACACAAAAACTGATCGTGTGCGTTCCTTTCTAACCTGCCCAGGGCCACGCGATTGGTCACGCCACCGATGGCGGCGTATGCAGTAACCAAAATGGTCAAAGTTCTTTGCCAGTCCTGTGGATCTTGATCGTACTTCAGTCAACGACAGCACTAAACGCGGGATGAGGTACTTGCCCATGTGTGCATCATTCGGTTGTCTAAGAGAGTTACAACGAAAGCATTTAAATATTCACACTTTTTAACGCAGAATTTAACCCCAAATAACTAACAGAATGTCCTTCAGCTATGTCACCGATTGTTTCATCCCACTGCCTGCTAAAGAAGTGACTGGGCGTTGCCCATGAACATTCAAGACAGTATCACGGTTCCACCTGGCTAACATCTGAACCACGCAATCAAATACGACCCACCTCGCCTTATATTGTTTTTAGAGGCCGTCATGTCAAACACAGATGGTGTACCATAAACATAAGGAGATTTGAGCTCCCGTTACGGTAGCTCGTCCACAAA